GCGAGCCCGGCCCAGGCCCCCGCCCCGCCGCCCTAGCCCCTGGCCGGACACACGGACTCCGGTGAGGAAAGAGGAAGCTCCTGGAGGAGCCCGGCCGGCTCGGCAGACGGCTCGGCAGACGCAGTGGCTGAGTCTTCCTGGGGCTCGAGATCCTTAGCAGCTGCGACCCGAAGGACGTCTGTTCCGGACAAACTCGGGCTGAAAACTGAGTACCCTGCTGACCAGCCCCTCATCTCTGTGCTTTCGCCCTCACCTGCCTCAGCTGGACTTAAGCCTCCTGGGAGCACCACCGGGGTTTCCGTACCATGATACTCATTAAAATTTTTAAAAAGCACTTAAATGTAATTGAAACAAATCTCATACTATCTGCGATGCATAGATGTGTTTTCACTTTAAAAATGCAACTTAGGCCCCCTGGGGACAACTTAGAAATGCCGAGGACCTCAGTTTAACTCCTGCTTCAGCTTAATTCTGATGGCTGTGGAAGTGTATTTGGGATCTAAGTGGCATTGACTTTAGACAGCCATTCTCCAGACAGGTAGTTAATAAAAGGTTTGATGATCAAACCTGGCCTCAGAATGACTGAAAAAATACACTAAACAAGTGAACTCCCAAAGCATTGAAGAATAGCTAATCTAACCACCCCCAGAACCCTTGGCTCTGAGAACAGCTGCATCTGGCAAGGGGCAGTGTTTAAACAGGCCAGGCGGCTCTTGCACCTACTCTGAAATAAGGGCAGTCCCACCTGTTCAGGGAATTACTGGTAAACCATAGCTGACGATACAGAAATGCGTAATTTTCATAACCTCTTATTTATATAGAATTCTAAGTCAAAAACTTATTTTGCTTAATCCTGTTAACCACCATGTGAGGCAGACGGGCTAGACCACACTAGCCTCATTTTATAGGCAAGAGTGGGAACATTACTCCCCTATTTAGTTGACAGATCCGGGATAAATCCTGGGCTTCCACACAATGGCTCTTAACCCATGATATTTTAAAAAAATTTTATTTTAAAAATATTACAGATGTCCCTTTTTCTCCCCAATGACCCATTCCACCCTGTCCCATCCCCCTCCCCACCACTGTCCGTGTCCTTGGGTTGTGCATATACCCATGACTTTTTGGCAAATCACTTTAATCATTGTGATTGCACAATGCTGTACAGGGTAAGAGGAACATCTATTCTTGGCAGGTTACCTACTGAGACAACCAACCTAATTAATTACCTCATAACCTGGCACATTTTAAGGCATCGCTATACTGCTAACTCAACTCACAGCTATGTTTGAGGGCCCCACGAGCCAAAACTGCAGCAAAGCTGAGCTTAAGGGACCAGGCAATACAACGGCTAAGCATATTTTCAAGTCTCAACCTGGGCCTGGCACCCCCCCCCCCAACTGCCTAGATGGCAGGTTGAGGCAACCGAGTGACAAAACAGAGAGATGACTTACTTAGGGCTAGACACTGTCAACACAAGCAGGATCAGACCCCTTTCAAGTGTCATGTCCCAGGAGCCCCAGTGTTGGTCTATTACAGCATTACCAGGAGGACTGAGAGCAGGATTTCGGGAGCAGCCAGCAGTCTACAATAGGCAAGGGAAGGGTCTAAGCTTGCCCAGGGCCTAAAAGACCAAATAGTGCCAATTTCATCCATGCCAAGCCAAGAAAATGGTTCTTTCCTGACTTGGGTTCTTAAAGCAGAGGACTGATCATCAGGGAAACAAAAAGATTCCACCCTAAAGCACAGCAGAAATAAGCAGTGGGTAACTCCTAGTGAAAGACGGGCTCACACTCAACCACTGTGCTCTTATCCTCACCCAGGGATATTTTTTCCATTTTTCAGAGTGGAAGGGGGAGAAACATCGATGTGAGAGACATATCACCTGGTTGCCTCCCGCTCACACCCCGACCGGGGCCAAGCCTGCAGCCGAGGTACGTGCTCCTGGATATTTTTTCCATTGCTCTTCAGAGTGGGAGAGAAACACTGATGAGAGAGACATCAATTGGTTGCCTCCCACATGTGCCCCAACCGGGCCAGGATGGAGCCTGCAACCGAAGTACAATCCCTCTACCAGAATCAAACCTGAGAACCTTCAGTCATGGGCCAATGCTCTAACCACTGAGCCAAGCCAGCTAGGGCTCTACCACTATGTTAATATGAAACACCCATTAGCTTTGAAGGGGAGAAGCTGTCTTGGCAAGCTCTGGTCTTCCACGAGACACGGAACCAGATTAGCAAGGCCAGGGCCTGGGTAACCAATCCTGATAGCGCAGGACTCTCTCACATAAGGTGTATGGGTCTCAAAGAACATGAACGCCCTAAACTCCCAAGCAAAAACTGGAGTGCATGCATGCTTTCCTGGAGAAATGGTCCTTCCCTTCTCACAGGTTCAAGAATAGGTTTGAATCCTGAGCTAGGGTAAGGAAGCCACCAGATACATTTAGAGCCAGCCAAGCCTGAGAGCTTGGCAAAGCTGTCACTGAAAAGTTGGAACATGGGCTCACAACACAGACAACTGAGCACTGTTGTGCTCTTGAAAATGTATTTCAAGTTCTTTCTAAAACAAGGCCTTAGGAACTCCCAGGTTCAAGTATGACTCTGGACTTGGCCCACTGATGTCTTGCATTCATGCTTGGCACCCATTCATCAATACTGAACCCCTGGATAGAAGATGTGATGAAGCAGGATCCCTCCTCCATGGCATGAGTCCTCTGCTGATTTCAGTGGTGGCAGCAGTGGCCAATGTGGAAAACACACTGGACTTTTCCTTTGGAAGTGGGCTGTGGTGAGAAGTATCTGCTAGGAACATCATCATCTTGTCCCCGACCCTTCCCCTCCAGTTTCTGAAGATATAGCAGGAAAAAAAAAATCTTTCAAGATACTGGATAATTCCAAAAAACAAAAACACACGCTTCCAATGGATTGTCCTTTCAGATATTCTGGGAGGAAGGAAAACACAATTTTGTTAATACAAATTAATTGTGACTTGGCACCTAAGAGCACTGTAGTAACCACAATAAAGAGCAATTTCAGAGTTAAGATTCCTTCAACAAAATAGTATTTAATCTTCGAATCCTTTCTGGTTAATACTACTCTCTCCCCACATCCAGCTCAATAACCACACCAATACAGAGATTTTTTAATTGCTCAACCTTTTCCAGCCTGTAACTCTTAGAATACACAGTCCCATGTCCTAACCAGGCATTCACCCTTCCAAGCATGTCTCCACCCACTAGACTTGTAAATACCAGCCCCCCACCCCCTGGCCAAAGTTCCTTTCAAATAGTGGTAAATGCAAAAATAATTTTTTAAGTGGCAAGGTGTAGCCCATGTAAAGTCAGCCCACGGGCAGTTTGCAGCCCTCTCACCTGGGTTTAGTTCAGCTGCCGGATGAGCTGATTGATGCGGTCACCTCGATAGCCAGGTGAACCCACCTCCTTGAGGAAGCCTACTCTATTCTTGGGAGCGTGGCGGGCCACCGAGAGATGGAAAGGGCACAAGAATTCTGAGATCCCCTGGAAATTCTTCCCCGGAAAAGCGATTTCATGAATGAGGTCTTCCAAGCAAATGACACCAAACTTCCCTAAGAAACACAAGGGCAGTTCCCTTTATTCAACATTTCGCCAGCACATACTGAGAGGCTCTCATATGCCAGAGCTGGGGACTCTGGAAGATTCCTGGGATCTCAAGAAGAATATAACCTAGACCCCACACCAGGAACACCAAAGGTCCTTGCTTTTTGTCCAAACTGATTCCTAAGATGCAATACTCACCCAGGTGCTCTTCGATCACTGTGTTGTCTGTCAAAGGGATGATTTTATTCTTGACCTTGGCTTGTCCACGTTTCAAGATGAGTTCCCGGACAGATTTCAGATTTGGAAATCTATGTGAGCAGAATGAAGTACAGCCTTAGCTCCCCGCTGGCACACTGCCACTCAGTCCTGCGGCCTGGCTAAGGACAGGTTCTCCCAACTACTCTTCCCCTCACCACTGCGTCCTGCAATCACCGCAGCTAGGATGCTAGGGAATGCACAGTGAAGGAGGGGTAAAAAACCAGAGTGGGCTGACCACACAATAAGAAATTGAAATTTATGGATATGAATGTTACCAGGCAAAAAACTTATTTCCCAGGCAAAACTAAAATAAGTCCTGGCTTACAGTCTAGGACTTTGGCCTTAGGTGACCCTCTACTCAGGATGGTGCAAGAGTTTGAAATCAAATCCAAGGCTCTGCTGGGTTTTAACATTTGAAGGAATACTACTCTTACACAAGCACTGCTCCTAGTTGTCCTTCAAGAATCCAAGACTTAGTTTCTCTCTACCCATCTTGCTCAGCCGTGGCCTACAGAGGAATAAGTCCTGCCAAGGTACTGTTCACGGAACATTCCCAGCAGCACTGATGTCTCCTGCTCTACCTACCCTCCAGTCCAAGGTTCTTATGGCTGGCCACTGCTTGTCACAACAAAATGCTCTTTTAACAAAAAACAGGAGCCTTGGAGAACAGTACCCTCTGCACCCTAACATTCTCAATGTGGTCAAATACAATCTAATGTGGATCCACACAAACACAAAAGCCATACTTACCCCCAGGTCACGTAAGGTTCCACTACACGTAGCATTTTTATGGTCTCGGGGGTCACTTTGACAAAGACACCACTGAAAATCTTCTTCAGGCGAAGCCTTGCAATGGTCCTTTGTACCATTAAACTCACCCCATTAATCCTGAAATGAACAGCAGAGGAAGTCAGCCTCCATTCTGTTTGTGAGCCCAGCAAGCACCTCTGAGATGTGTGCCACTACTGGACACCCAGAGGAACACACAGACAGTGCCTTACAGAGTTCAGTGGAGGAGGCAGCTACAAAATCAGATCATTTCCACACAATGTGGAGCAATGCTTGAGGTGCTATGGGAAAAGGGGTGGCCCCTGAATTTGTGGTGTGTCTGTGTGAGGGTGTAAGGCAATGTACACCTAGCTAAGGAAACTGGACTTGCTTCTGTGGGCAGTAAAAACTATGGAAAACGTTAAGTAAAGAAGACAAAGACAGGTTTCTTTTTTGGTACAGAGGTCAGATCTGAGAGTGTGACACCAGAGGCAAAGAAACTAAGTTAGAAAGCTAATCTGATAGTCCAGGAAAGAGACTATTGGCAGTGGTAGGAGGGCTACTAAGCAGGGCTCATAAATACTTAAAACCCATAGGTTTCTGATTTGGGTGATTGGGTAGGGGAAATAGGGAGAGGCAGTTATATAGGCAGGTAGGAACGGGTAAGGAATATACCACTAGATGTGTAAAAAGCTTTTCAATTCACTCTCCCTAGCACTGACTATGCTCCATTCACTTGACCTTGGTTCAGTTCTTACAAAGATTTCCCCACTTCAGGACTTTCTGCATCTATGTTGGACAGCCTTTCCCTAACATTGGTGAAGAACTCCTTACATGTCTGCAAGCCTCAGCTTCAAGCTCCTGCTTTAGAAGAGTATCCTCAACCAGTACACACACTGCACCCCCACCAATCCAGCACCTGACTCTCATAACACTGTATTTTCATGTCTGTTTGCCTAGGATCAGTTTCCTTAACCTTGAAGACAAAACCTGTGCTATGCTCAACCCTAAATTCCTAGCACTACTTGCCTTAGTGGCTTGCCCCAGCCTCATGTAACCTGGCAAGTTACCTACCTTTGGATGCGTACAACAAAGGCCAGGGAATGTTCATCTGGCACTTCCAAACCATGAGGTTTCACTTCTAGCCGTCTGAGGCGCACTGTGTCACGTTGTTGCCGCCAGGCATCGTGTAGGAACCATTCCAGTCGCTTAAACTTGAAATCTTTTCCTTTCCTCCGCTACAAAGAGGCAGACCACCATCACCATTTTGTGTCCCGTCACCTTTACTTCCACAACAGTAATGGGTCAGTCACTACTAACAGAGCTTATTTCCCCCTATGTTCTGCACAGGGGAGCAAACAAATGCCTTTATTTTTATATAAAGGAAAAAGTGAGATACACAAGGAAAGGTGTAGTTGAGAAAACGTGGGAAATACTGGGAAAAGTCCCTGATAAATAAATTCGTTCACATGCTGTTAATCATTGTTTCCGGACAAGCGTTTATGGAACCTAACATTTAAGCATCACAAAGTACAAAACAAGGATAAGTTTGTTTTGTTCCCTGCCTCCAAAATATGTATTTACCCCAAAACATTTAGCAAGCAGCAAAATTGGTACATTAAAAAAAACACGTTTTCCTTAACAAACTACTCCAGTATTTTGCCCGCTCAAAGTGTTTGATAAATATTTGCTAAATGAAGACATGAACCATATACCTGGTACAACTGAACCGATTGGGGGGGGCGGGTTAATACCAAATCTAGTTCAATCCCTGCGGGATAAAAACCACCAAATACAAATTCTAATCCCATCCTCCCGGTTCCTCGCCATTACCTCCTTCTTTTCCAAAAGTGCCCGCTTTGCCTCGGTGGCTTTGAGGGCCTGATAAGCCTTCCTCTTTTTCAGGAGATTTTCTGGAACCAAAGGGATCTTTTTTCTTTGCCTGATACAGAAAATTGACATCAGAGACAATACTTAAGATATACTTGAATGGATTTCCAAACCATTTCCTAGGCTTCGGGAAACATTAGTCTTCAAATTCCTAAAAACCGAGACGCTCCTGAAACCTGTGATTTCTGACTCCAGTCCTCAAAGTGGACCCTTAACATTCCCTCGGCCCGAAGCGTTAAAAAACCATGAATCCTTTGGCTACCGTTCTTCGTAATGTCAATGTAGCTTTTACTGACACAGCCTTTTATAAACACTAGAAGCGACGACATCCTAGTAAAACCCTGTAGGGTCGGGGCGGGTGCAGACCCATCTGTAGCGGGAATACCTAAGTCAGGCTGCGTGAACCCAATTCCGGCACTCTCCAGCTCGCGGCCTGGAAGTCAATCCTCGCCCCTCCAGGTAACCCGAACTTGAACGGCCGCCTCCACCCGCCCGCACCCTACGGCTCCTCACTCTTCACCCCCACCCTCTGTAATCTGGAGACTTTTCTAGTATCTCCCTCCAGTCCGCAAGTATCCTTAATTCCCGCGACCGGGAAATAAACACCGTGGCTGGCGCCGGATGCTCAAGGATCCTCTCCACAGATTCAAGCCCCAAATACTCACTCGTCTTCCGCCATCTTCCCAAGGCAGCGGCTACTGCTCATGCGCAGTCCTACCACGTGGGGAAGAGAGAAACCGCTCTATGCTTACTTGACCATAGAGTCGGCTTTTCTATAGCTCACGACCCGGAGAGTAAGGGTCCTCTTAGCATCGGGGAACCGCCGAGATCGTGCTAACCCCGATTCCTGCTAAAAGCCGCACAAAACTTTATTTACACTGCTTCTAAATGGTTTAGAGCTCTGTAATATTCAAAACCCATCCCTTTTCACTTAAGCTATATTTTCGTAATGCTAGTGGCTGGGCTATAAATGAAACGCTTCCTAGAATGCACCTACGACTTCCGGCCAGGGGCGGGAGCAGCTGCTCCGGCTTCCGCTGGGCTGCGCGACTCCGGAAGTGACGACCGGCAATTGCGGGACAGCCTTTCAAGCTCCCCCCCGAGAGAGCGGGGCGGCGCGGCGGCTTCGGCTCTCACGTGTGGGCGGAGGTGTCGTGGTCGACGTCGGATGGTGAAAACGCAGCACTGATTCCGTCTGCCCAGCTCCGTCGGCGGGCCCTTGATCTGTACCTTAGTTTCCTTTACCATAAAATGAGTATAATGACCTTACCCGATAGCCTCTCGAGGCGTCTCTGAGCCACTCGATATAAAGCGCGTGGCACAAGGACGGACAGGAAGCGGTCAACACTGTGTTATTAGTGCCGGACCGAAAGCTAGACATTCCTCCTCGTCATCTCAGGACATTCCCTCTTACCACCTGGAATATGCTTCTTTCTCTTCTGGCCTTCATAAAACAATGGAGAATAACCCGACTCCTGCCTTTTCTGAAAACCTTCAGAGCGTCGCGTCTCAAGCATTAACGTCTCAGGCATAGGAGCCACCCGAGGATCTTAAGATGTAGATTTTTACTCAGGAGGGGGTGGGGGATTCTGGTCGATAATGGCATTTTTAATGTGCTTCAAAGGGATGCGGTTGCTTCAGGTCTCTGGACTAACATTTGGCCAGCAGGGCTCAGCAGTAGTCTTCCTTTCTCTCAATTCCGCCAGCGCAGCACTGTATTTTTTATGTTTCTTCCCCATGATACTAGGAGGGCAAGGCGTTGCTCATCCCTGATCCTAAGGGTCTAGCACAGGTGTCTTAATCTTGCCACCATTGGCACTGGGGGCCAGGTAAGTGTTTGCTGTGGGGGGCTGGCCTGTGTATTGTAATGTTTAGCAGCGTCCCAAACTTCACCCACTGTCAGTCAGTAGCTGCGCCACGCGAGATGTGACAAAAATGTGTCCAGGCAATTGCCAAGTACCTACCACAGTGTATTTGTTTATCCTAAGGGTCTAGGGCAGTGTTGTTATTTGACAGTCAGCACTTACAGGGATCACCACAGACTCTATCCTGCACTGTTTGGCTTATTGTTTCCCTAATTAGATTGGGTGCTCTGAAGGCCGGGAACTTCTCTGAACCTTCTACAGCACCTGTCACAACCCTGGACACCTGCAGGGGCTTGTTAACTAAGTTCAGGGCATCATACTGTTGTATGTTATGGAACTAGTCCAACCACAAAGATAGCGTCATGCACAGAGCTCACTCCCTGATGAATAAATATTAAAGGACAACTTGAGGCAAAATAACTGATAATATATATTAATTATGTATTTAAGTCTCTATAGGAACGTATACAGAATTTCTTAACGTGTATGTGATAGCAATGGATGTTTAAATCTTTACTTAATTATAGTATTTAAATCTGTAAAATGTTTTCTTTCATTATTCTTAAGTTACTGTTATGTGTAAGCTATATCAGCTCCATGAATTTTAAAATTTTTGGACTCTTGAAGTATAATGTGATTCAGGCACTATTCTGATACCATCTAAGTTAAAAATTAAAAACATATGTATTATAGAGAGTAAAAAAAGTTTTCTTGAGTTCATTTTTTTTAATAATCAATTTATTTTTTGGAAACATCTTTAAACTATCATCCATTTAGAAAACATGATTAACTGGTGGCTAAAATGATGGTGATACCTTCATGAAACAGCCAGTATTAAAGTAATAGTCATACCTATTCAACTATACCTATTTTTAACCAACAAATTAGTATGTGTATACTAACAGTATGCAGTTATTTTCCTAAAAGGTCATATAGATAAGGTTTATATCTATATATAATCTGTGTATGTATATGTGTGTGTGTGTAGATATATATAAGTTAAGATCCATCAGAAATACATGGTGGTAAGTTACCTCTAAAATAAAATAAAAATACCAAAGGACAGTATACTCTTCAGGGTCACAGACTATGGTGTGAGGCTCATTCTCACTCATCACCTCACCATGTATCTTACTTTGTTAAGAGCTGAAAACAGAAGGATCACCAAAGCGTAAGACATCCATTAGATATCTAACAAGGAACAAAAATAAGTCCATATTTTGTAACTTCCCCTGTCTACAGATAAGAGGTAGGCTCTCTGGTACAGACATACTGAGAGGAGGAATTTCAGGGGTATTAATACTCCTGGCTGAAGACTTTGGAGGCCAGGACTAAGGAAAAGGTTTCCAATGCCAGCAGATGGTGCTAGGAGAGTACTTATGCTCAGTGCCAAAGCCGTCGTTCCATCAGACTGGTCGGAGAACAAGGGATGGAGTCCCAAGATGTTCACTAGCTGAACATATTTACTGAGCTTCGACCACGTGCTCTAACACGAGGTGAGATACAGTGTTTTTCCGAAGTGAAGTTACTGAATGAGAACGTGGCATTGCCGTTTACAGCATTAAGAATCCTGTTCTTTTTAGCTTGTCTTCAGAGGCCTCTGCTCTCTTCTCTTTTTTTTTAATCCTTGCCCGAGGATATTTTTTCCATTGCTTTACAGAGAGAGTGGAAGGGGAGAGAGAAACATCAATTGGCTGCCTCTTGCACGCACCCCGACCAGGGCCGGGGATCAGCCTGCAACAGAGGAATGTGCCCTTCACTGGAATCGAACCCAGGACCCTTCAGTCCACGGGCCAACGATCTAACCACTGAGCCAAACCAGCTAGGGCACTTTTTTCTTGATCACTTCAATGGTCCATCATTAGGGAATGATTATATAAATTATGGAAGGCCCTGGCCAGGTAGCTCAGTTGGTTAGAGCATCATCCTGATACACCAAGGTTGCGGGTTCAATCCCCAGTCAGGGCACATATAACACATCCAAGAACCAACCAGTGAGTGCATAAATAAGTGGAACAGCAAATCAATGTTTCTATCTCTCCCCCCCCTTCCTTTCTCTCTCTAAAATCAATAAAAGAAAAAAAATACATAAATTATGGAAGACTATAGAATTATATGCAGTGAGGTAGACCTTCAAGTCCCAAAATCTCAGTGGTAGGTGTTTTTCATTTTTTGGCCTGCTGCCATGCATTCCCATTTCCTAACAGTATCCTGTTTCTCCTGTGGACTGGTCTCTCCCTCATCGTGTCCGTTCTGTGGGAACGAAGTCCTAAATCCACATGTTTGCCCTCCACACACAAGTTAAAAGGGTCTCTGGGAGATCTTCCCAGTCCTCTCACCTGCCCAGTCGGAGGGGCATGAGAACCTAAACTTCTCTTCTTTGGTTCTGAGTCCTGAGCAGCGATGATGGAAGAAATGTAGGTTTGGGGTAAAACTTTTAAGGATTTCAGCCTACTGAGCGAAACCTGGAATTTCCTTGTTCCTGTGCTTCTCAAGTCTGGTGTTTTTTCAAACTTCCCTTCAACCCTTATCCTTCCTATAAAACTCCTTCACGCTAACCAGATCGGTTTCTGTTGCTTGTGACCAAAGAATCCTGACTATAATATCCCCAGACATTTGGAAAATGTCCATACTGTATTGTAGTTGAAAAAGCAAGATACAGAATAGGATGTTAAGAGAGTGGTCCTAGTTGTTTTTGTTTTTTTGGCTATAGATGCACTTGTATGTAACAATTTTGGACGGATATACAAGAAAGTGTAGATGGGTGTTATTTTTGGAAAATGTGAGTGGGGCCTGGAATGGGAGCAAGACTTACGTTTTGTGGTATGCCCTTTATCACGTATTTATTAGTTTAATAAAAAGCTCTCTAGGTCATTAGGGTCTTGTGATTTGCCTGTTTTAGAAACTACTTAACTGTATGTTTTTTAAGACTCCTTTCAGGACCAACATCTTGTGGTTCTCTGAACTGACCCCAGGACCCCTTTGCTAACACATCCCACAGTAAGTTATGTTAGTTTACTCTGCACTTTGGGATTATTTGGAACGCTACTCTCTCTCACTGAATCGCGCAGTAAGGCAAAAGCACCACACCCAGCACACCCGAAAGGGGCTCCATCTGTCCTTTCCCTTCTGCCCCACACCTCTTTCTTGGATTATGATCCTTCTTGCAGCCTACTTTGTTTTGTTTTGAGCTTTCCTTGCTGACACAGGTTACCAGGAAACGTGGGAGAGGGATTACAGCAGGTCCTGGAATAATACCGTTTTGTTATCATGTTGATGAGATGCCATAGGAACTTAACTCTTGTTTATATCAATTAGCTTATGGTAAAATTGGTTTCGTATAGTTTCACCACAGTTCCAAGAACCTATCAATGACCTTCAGTGAGAACTTACTGTAGTGAGAGGGCAGCCAGGTGAGTCTAGAGTTGGAGAAAGCAACACGGACAACAGCTTTTGACCTTGAAAAACAAGCATAAGGGAGCAAAAGTGGGAAGGAAAAAGGAGAGAACAGGTGAAGGGCAGGCAGCAGCCTTTTGAGGGTCGAGGAGATACCCAGGAAGCTGGGGTAGGAAGGAGACAGTGTGCAGTAGGTAAGACCAAAAACAAAACCGGAAAACCCAACCCTCTCCTGAATTATTTCACGGGTAATGGAGTATTAGGTTTTCCTACCTTCCATACTTCTTCAACACCACCTCATTTTACACCAAGAAATGGAGGGTCAGGACGAGTCCTCCTCATTTATCGGGAGGAAGCTGAGGCTGAGAGTAACTCGCAGGAAGGTATCTGATTGGGTGTTAGATAGAAGTACTGGCACTTGTTTCCAGATTCTGCTGCCAAAGGCACTTTGTACCCACCCCCTGCACCGCTTCCCTTGACCTTCACAGAAATGATATTTTCCCAGAAGGCTCTTCTTGCCTTTGCAAGTGTTGCCAAAGGCCGGGCTACAGCTCATGCATGCGAGGAATACAGATTAAGGTCTCTTATAAGGCCTCTGACCTAGAACAATGCAGACCCAGGCTGTTCATATAACAGAGTCTACTTTATACTACAAATGTGCCTCTAC